TGGAGGTTATGTGCTGAAAGCTGTCAGGGCAGCAGGTCTGAGATGGGTCTGACGGGGATGGCTGCAGTAGTAAATACACTGCAGAAGACAGACTAGCACAAAGTGACTGGGCTGGATTATATGAAAGTAACAAATTTAGCTTTCTGCAAATAACATTGTTTATAATTTTTACCATAGAAAACTAAAATGAGTATTCACTTGGACTGTCACATGTACCCCATAATTGTTCTGATGATCACAGGAATCTGCCATTCAAAACATGTATATATGAAGGGCTTTTTAAAGGTATCAATTGCTCTACAAATGTAAGGTTAGGTTTAGTATAATTATAGCTAATATTTATTGAGCATTTATATTTCTAGATACTGTGTTAATTTACAAACATTATTTGACTTAATTATCACTATAGTCCTGTGATATAAATATAATTATTCCCATTTTGTAGGTCAAGACATAGGCTCAGCAAAGTTAGGTAACTTGCCGAAGGTCACATAACCAGTAAGTGGTGGAGCTGGGATTTGAGTTTAATGAGTCAGTATTCTTGGCCATTCTTCAGTACTCTACATTTTCCACATTATCACCGCTATTGAAGTCAGATTTTTACTAGTATGTACTATACTCATTTGACTGAATTAGGAACAACCTAAATATAACCCATAAAATGACCATACTAGAGGATTGTTCCAATGTGCATATAAAGTTGCCCCGGTTATTTTCATTTACAAAATTTGGGGCAGACAATATAGTAAATGATCATTATTCTTGATTGAGTTTGAAAACCACCAGGCAGTAGCTGGGAAAGGATTTTAAAAACAAGTGTAAAGCACCTATTTGTTATTTATAAAGTTGCCTTTGGCTAGAAATATGCTTTCTATTCTGTGAATTGCTACCATTGGTTCCATGCGTTTAGCCTTTACAGTACACTTCAGAAAATCAAAAGCTCTGTGGATTACACATTGCATATTAAAATTTAGAGTCTAAGGCATTTTGCACCAGCAAATATATATTTGACACAGACTTGGAAATAAAGATGTGCCTGTTAGTTCAGAGACAATATTTTTGTGCAAAATATAAACACCAGGATTGGGTTTGGGGGATGTCCAACATCCTGTGTTCAATAAGATTGAAATCTCTGGGGACTAGGATTTTGTCTTTTCCAGTGCCAAAATATTGAATGCCAAGCATTCGTAAAAATTTGTTTCTGATGTTTTGAATTGTATGTAATAATAAGCACAGAAGTTAGTGTTTGGAGAAGGTGCCTGTAAACTACCAAGGCCTCTTAGGAAAATCTGTAAAAGTTTCCTATCCTGTCACTGGGAATTAGAGAGTTTCCTAAGGTGGGAAGGAACCAACCAAGAAGGAATAAGCAGGGTTGTCTTTTTTTTTTAAAATATATTTTATTGATTTTTTACAGAGAGGAAGGGAGAGAGATAGAGAGTTAGAAACATTGATGAGAGAGAAACATCGATCAGCTGCCTCCTGCACATCTCCTACTGGGGATGTGCCCGCAACCCAGGTACATGCCCCTAACCGGAATCGAACCTGGGACCTTTCAGTCCGCAGGCCGACGCTCTATCCACTGAGCCAAACCAGTTTTGGCAAGGGTTGTCTTTTGGGCTTTCATAGTCTATTCAAAGTAGTTTTGATGTAGAACAGGTCTTCATTCATTCATTACTTTGTTCATTCATTCTTTTGTTCATTTAAAAAAAGTTAGTGAATACAGTGTTAGTAAATGTGTTAAGTAAAAATTAATCTATAAATTACTGAAAGTAGTAGTATGTCATCACTAAATTCTTTCCTTCCTGACAGCAAACTGATTATAGTTTAATCTTTTGGCTGCAATTCTCACCTCTTTAATGAAATCTCTGTGGCTTGAGATTCTGAGAGGATGAGCCTTTCACCCAGTATAATAATGATGAATAAGTCATCCAGTAAACTATTTTCCCAGTGAAGGGTAATAATTTGGTGTGATTATAATGTGACAATCAAGAAAAAATAAAAATGCTGACTTTTGCTTTTAGTTGTACAGATACAAGTGCCTGTTTTTAAAAAAATTAGGAATCTCTGGTGGCTTTTTGCACCCAAAGTGTTTTCCGAATGAGTGTTGGATGAGTGTATAGCACTCTAAACAGTGGTCAGGAAGTGGTTTATGTCCTTGTCCTTTGTCATGGGAGTTTGTGCCCAGTATGCAGAGTGTTACTGCTGACTCACTTCGTACTTTTTCCTAGGTGATGACCTCACTATTTATGGGGTTGTCATGCAACGGTGGAAGCCCTTTCAGCGAGATGTGCGCTGTGAAGTGGAGATAGTCCTGAAAGCCAATTATGTCCAAGTAAATAATGAGCAGTCTGCAGGGATCATCATGGATGAGGAGGTCCGAAAGGAATTTGAAGATTTTTGGGAACACTATAAGAGTGATCCCTTTGCAGGTTTGTGATTAAGGGTATAAAGCTGATAATTATTAATGGCATTTTATTCAGTAGTTAAACATGTTGTCTCTGATTGGGGGTAGCCTTACATGTCCCATAACTCAGCGACTGAGTGCACAGGGTAGTAGCATCAGTCAGTGCCTTTAGACACAGCCTCCCCTGAAGCCCTTTTCTGGCATAGCCTCTTCTATTTAGAGAGATGGAAGAAGAAGGCTGACTTCCAAGAGGTTTTTCATTTCTAACTATTTTAACATCTTATACTGCCAAAATCGTTTCAGAATTTTCTACCTTCTTTACCTTAAATAGGAAAAACTCATCCTATTATGACACTTTGTCTGATGTCCTTTAAATTATATGGACATCTTCACATGATTTTAGCTGAAGATTTAAAAATAGGAGCTATGTAGAAAAGAGATGAGAAAGATGGAAAGATGCAAAAAATAAGCTTTGTTATCACAGCAAAAATTTTGATTATGACACTAAGATATAATTGCCTAGATTAAAACATCACAGCCTTTGAGTTTATAAAGTATTTTTAATAAAAATCCCAAATGTATAAAACACCAATTAAATCTTCAAATGTCTGTTTTCATTCTTCCTTGGAGGTATCTTCTGAGACAAATAAACCAAAGGCAGTAATAGGCTATTACTTTTATTTATTTATTTATTTATTTATTTAAAAAATATTTTTATTGATTTCAAAAAAGGAAGGAAGAGGGAGAGAGATAAAAACATCCATGATGAGACAGAAGCATGGATCGGCTGCCTCCTGCACGCCCCCCTCGGGGATCAAGCCCACAACCTGGGCATGTGCTCTTGACCAGAATCGAACCTGGTACCCCCCAGTTCACAGGCCGACGCTCTATCCACTGAGCCAAACCGGCTAAGGCAAGGCTATTACTTTTTTAAAAAAAACATTTTCTTCTTAAAAATATATATTTTTTTAATATTTCAGAGATGAAGGGAGAGAGAAAGAGAGATAGAAACATCAATGATAAAAGAGAATCATTGATCAACTGCCTCCCACAAGTGCTCTGACCGAGAATCAAACCATGACCTCCTGGTTCATAGGTCAACACTCAACCACTAAGCCATGCCGACCGGGCAGTAATAGGCTATTTCTAATAAACTTCATCTCCAATCAACTACATAGTGATTACTCTTAAATCACATGCTGAACTGGATAGTTATCATTTCACCCACACAAAAAAGGCCCTCATTTGCCAAAATAGAGGCAGTTTGCTTTTATTTTGTGGCATGATATATTTTTTTGCTTATGCGTGTAGCATATATGATCATTCTTTTACCTGATCTATACAGAAAGAACCACAGGTCTCTATATTGTGGCTTTTATAAGCAAACCTTCTAGGAATCATATTTTTTAAAGAATATTTTTTCTTGAAATTGTTTCTTAGAATCAGGTCCTTATAAAAATCTGTAACCCTCCCTTGGACCACAGTCATTCCTTATTAATCACAAATAGAGGCCTGGTGCACGAAATTCATGCACTCGGCGGGGCGGGGGTGGGGCATCCCTCAGCCAAGCCTGCACCCTCTTACAGTCCAGGAGCCCTTGGGGGATGTCCGACTGACACCTTAGTGCTGCCACGGAGGCGGGAGAGGCTCCTTTCACCACTGCTGCTGCACTCGCCAGCCGTGAGCCTGGCTTCTGGCGTACTGATCACCAGGGGACAGCTTCTGCATTGAACCTCTGCCCCCTGGTGATCAGTGTGCATCATAGCGACTGGTCCTTTCGCTGTTTGGTCGATTTGCATATTAGCCTTTTATTATATAGGACTAGAGGCCTGGTGCACGAAATTTGTGTGTGTGTGTGTGGGGGGGAGGTCCCTCAGCCCGGCCTGTACCCTCTCCAATCTGGGACCCCTCGGGGAATGTCTGACTTCCGGTTTAGGCAGTCGAACATCCCTCTCACAACCTGGGACTGCTGGCTCCTAACCACTTGCCTGCCTACTGGCTTGATCACCACCTAACCGGTCCCCTGCCGGCCTGATGGCCCCCAACTGCCCTCCCCTGCCAGCCTCATGGGTCCTAACCTAACTGCCTTCCCCGGCCGGCCTCATGGCCCCCAACTGCCTTCCCCTGCCGGCCTCATGGCTCCCAACTGCCCTCCCCTGCCGGCCTCATGGCCCCCAACTGCCCTCCCCTGCTGGCCTGATCGCCCCTCATCGCCTCTGCCTCGGCCCCCACCACCATGGCTTTGTCCAGAAGGAAGTTGGACGGTAGGAAGATGTCTGGTCTCCCGGTCCAATTAGCATATTACCCTTTTATTAGTATAGATGCCTCAGCCCAACTCTGCCTAATTGGCTTTTCCACCACAGCAATGGAATGAATTCCCTCCAGCAGTCAATTAACTTCCTCTAGGATTTACTAATTCTTTTTCGTCCCCATTGTACTGAAATATTTCCTTCACCATTTCTGCAATCCCAGGTCATATTCCCAAACCTTCTAGGAATCATATTTTTTAAAGAATATTTTTTCTTGAAATTGTTTCTTAGGATCAGGTCCTTATAAAAAGGATTATGAGGCAATTTGGATATATTACCAAAAGGAGCCTTTGTGTATTGGCCCATAAATTGTAGAGAAAGGCCCTTTCTCTTCCTTGATGGTTTTGCAGGAAAGCTTCTGGAACTGGAATCTTCAGCTGCTGGAGTACTCATACAATTATTTTCACCTCAAAATAGCTATCACTGAAACATGAGTAAAAATTCAGATAAGTATAAAAGTCCCAAAACATGCAAATTAGTTACCAGTATGTGGACATTAACTTCTGGTAACAGGAACGTAGACACAGCACCATTAGCAGTGAATTCTGTGTAAGTTAGACAGGCTCAGGCAAGGCTTGCTAGACTCTCATGTTCCTCTGTTGGTTGATTAGGCCAGAAACCAAATGAAATACCTACTTTATTCATGAATGGGATAGGCAGGGTCTCAGATTTGGTGGTTTGACATTTTTGAAAACAGATCCTAAAACACTGATAGTCTCTTATTTAAAGCACATGATCAGAGGAATCCAAGACCTGCAGCTTGGATTGACGAACTTGAAGCTTATGATGATCTTAATATCCTGATACCCTAGTAACTTATTCTAAGTAAAACAGAATTTACCAAACTGCTCAGAGCAAATGCTGAACTGCCTCACAGGGTAGACTGATTTTATTTCTCTGACTCCCCTGGAGAAGTTCCAAGTATCTGTTTGTAAAGGTTCTGGCTCCTACAATCCAACTTACTGTTCTGAGATCAAGCACTCTCCTTTTATTTACACAGTGTAGTGATTTTACTGAAATTACTGCACAGAAAGTGCAGCCAGTTCCATTTTTAAGGGTAATGCTAGCCTGATGAAGGAGAAAATGAGATTCTTTTATGTCCCTTCTAAAGTATGATAAATTTATGGAAACTTAAGCAGGTAGCACCCAGGAATAAAGCAGACATTTCATCTCATGGCATTAAGAAGAGAACTAAATCGTTCACTGCTTTTAGTCATTTGGAAATGGTCCTCTTGACCATTTTATTTTTTTTATTGATTGATTTTAGAGAGACAGAGGAAGTGAGACAGACAGAAACATCAATTTGTTGTTCCACTTATTTATGCATTCATTGGTTGATTCTTGTATGTGCCTGACTGGAGATCAAACCCTCAACCTTGGCATACCAAGATGACACTTTACCAACTGAGCTATTGGGCCAGGGCCTTTAAATCATTTTAGATGGTAGTGTGTGTTATAGGGCAGGGAGGAAATTTTCAGTTATGATTTCTTAAAAATTGTTGGCAACTTCTGGTCTTTCTACCTTTTCTAGGAAGGAATGAAATATTGGCCAGTTTATGCCCTCAAGTTTTTGGGATGTATCTAGTAAAGCTTGCTGTGGCCATGGTACTGGCTGGTGGGATTCAAAGGACTGACGCTACAGGAACACGAGTCAGAGGTTAGTACCTATTTAAAACTTTTGAAAAGTTGTAACACATATAAGGAGAGAAACGAGAATTTGTTTTTCCTGAGTAAAAATTGCTTTTTGAGCTTTACTTTGCAAATGTAGTCTTTAAAGCTGACAGTTGTCTGGCTAATACTTAGCCTAACATCTGTATATCAGTAGCTACTTTCTAGAATTACAAAAACTAAAAGAAATCATAAATTTTTCAATGAGTAAGTTTTGCTCTAACCTCTCAGGGTGTCACAAAATAAAATCTTCACATTTCTATTTCTGTCTGTGTTTTTCATCAGATCCACCATCTTCTTGAAGAGGGAAAGATTAGAGTCCAGCCAGTGTGGTTCAGTGGTTGAGCTTCGACCTATGAACCAGGAGGTTCCGACTCAATTTCTTGTCAGGGCATATGTCTGGGTTGTGTGCTCTATCCCCAGTAGGGAGCATGCAAGAGGCAGCCTATCAGTGATTATCATCATTGATGTTTCTCTCTCTTCCTCTCTGAAATAAAATAAATATATATATTTTTAAAAATTTGTTTAAAAAGAGGAAAAGATTAGAAATAGTGCTTTTTAATGTCATCAAGTCAGCGTCCCTCCATCTGTGACTGTCAGTGTGTTTCTCTCAGACTGCTGCTCTCAGTCATCTGCCTGCTGATTTCCCTTCTGTCAATGGGTTGCAAATGTGCCATCTGCCATTTGGTGCTGCTGTAGGTCACACATTCAGGCAAAGATTACTCTATGTATGTAATTATGTCCAAGTGGCAGAAAGCTCTTTTGCTGCTAACACACTTAACTGACCTGAATCTGGCACAAAGTAGGTTTATTATGGTCTTTGTATAGGGCATATGAGAGTCATAATAACCAAAGACTAGATCAAAAGACTCCAAATACATTAATGTCAATCAGGCGGTTAGTAGGTACTTTAAAACCATGTACTGCAGTATAGAATAGTAAATGTCATAAGGTTTATGTGTATGGTATGTTTTGATAACCCACTGTTTGCAAGGCACTCTGCCAAATGTTGTACCTAAATAGGAGTTTCCTATTAATACATTTAGAAAATACTTAAATATTACTGAAGAAATTTGTTTGATCAGTGATATAATACAGCCACAGGATATTCATGTTCGTGTTGCATTTGAAAAAGAAGAGTACTTTAAGATAGATATTTCATTAAACTAAAAATTTTTTTAAATGAAATGATTTTCACTTAACTGTTGAAATCATAAATATTTATAAAGCACTTATAAAGTCCCACATTTTCAGTATTTATTTTATTTAAATTCTTTATTGTTTAAAGTATTACATGTCTCCTTTTTCCCCCATTGACCTCTCCCAGCTGCTCCCACTGCCCCCCCCCCAAGCATTTGATATTTATTTTTTATTTATTTTTAAAAATTCTCACCCAAGGATATTTTTCCCATTGATTTTCAGACAGAGGGGAAGGGAAGGAGGAGGAGGGAGAGAGAGAAACATTGATGTGAGATAGACACATCGATTGGTTGCCTCCTGCACATGCCCTGACTGGGGCGGAAACAAACCTTCAACCTAGATAAGTGCCCTTGACCAGGAAACAGGAATCAAACCTGTGACCCTTTGGTTCAAAGCTCTAACCACTGAGATAAACTGGCCAAGGTAAAAGTTCTACTTTTTCAAAGTGCTCAAATAAAAATATAATAAATAAAATCAGAAATTTTATAAGCCAAATTTTAAAAAAACAGTAAACATAGGCCTGGACATCTAGAAATAACACAAAGTCTGTTAAGAAAATTTTTATTTTAAAAGTCACCTTCAGAAATCATTTAAAGGTTGTTATTTATGATGACAGTTAACTTTGCTAAAGATATTTTAGTTAAATCTTTCCTCAGATGACCAAGTATACAACAGAAGCATTATCCATATATATAAAAGCCCAGCAACTGGAATGGTGGAACGACCAGAACGACTGGTGGCTGCAGCAGCCAATCAGCTTGATCCAGGCTCCGATTGGGCCCGCCCCCTGGCTGGCCCCACCCCTGATCTGCCCCCAACACCCGGATCGGGGGCGGGGCTGGCTGGCCAACTACCTGCGGCCCCTCCCCCTGGCTGACCCGGCCCAATGGACCGGCCACCCAGCCGGACCCCACCCGTGCACGAATTCGTGCACCGGGCCTCTAGTATAAATTATACATTGTGTTGACAATCCAAGTGGGCCATTTCCTTTTTGATTAATTATACTTGTTCATAGAAATTTAAAACTTGACATTTACTTTTTTCTAGGTGAATCTCATCTTTTATTGGTTGGGGATCCTGGCACAGGGAAATCTCAATTCCTCAAATATGCAGCAAAGATTACACCAAGATCTGTGCTTACCACAGGAATTGGATCTACTAGTGCAGGTATTTTACATAACAATTCATTTAATGTCACTACAGAAACTAATACAATGGTTTTTTTTCTTATTAAAAAGTACCTACAGTATGATAAATTTCAAGCTAATTTCTGAGTTACTGCCAAAAATGGAAGGAAATATGTAGCATTTCTTTTGTAGCTCTTAAGAAAATATTTTAAAGGCTCCACCATCACTTATTTTCCAAAAACTTATTCTATACATCTTTTTGCATCTTAGTTTTGAATGATGCTATTCACTTTTCTCATAATCTAGTGATTATCTTCATACATACTTATGCATGAAAAAGTATGTATTAGCTGGCATTGTTTGAGGACCCAGTGAGCAGAACAATGAAATAAATTAAATAGGAGGGTAAAAATTTCACTTTACATAGATAGATCATGTTGCGCTTAAGGCATTTTTATGCTCATCGATCTCACGGGCAATGGAAGCTCCTGTGGAAAATTCTTAGGTAGAAAATGTCTTAATATGTGAAAAGTGTCTTTTCATTATTGCATTGTGCAGCTTTATTCACACATTCTAATGATTCTTCAACAATGCATTTAAAAGCCTTTGCAGATAGGATGTCAAGATTTAATTACAAAATGACTTTAGGAAAAATTTATTTTAAAAGACATGTTTGATCCCATTTTGTATTTTTACTCCATTTTGACTGGGGAAATATTTCTCCTGTTCTTCTATAATGGGCCTTTGATTTTACACATTTTATAAATGTTATTTATTACTTGTCAGGGGAGCCTAACCCTGTGCTCAGATTGCTTATGAGAAATGTGTATTTTAAAGTTATCATAAAGCAGCAAATCTCCATTAATGGTCCTACATAATGAGATCTCCATTCTAAGGAGCTGAACAAAGCATGCTCCTCCGATTTCTGAATGTTTTCTTAGCTCAGATGATACCCTCATTCCCTCCAACCTCCCCTTCGGTCTCTTCTGTAGCATATTGTTTGTTTTTATTTATCTTCCCAGGACACAGCTATTTACTATGATCAAAAAAGGGGAAAAATAGTTCCAAACCTTCTAGTCATAATTCATATAGTGTCTGTAAATGAGGCTAAATGGGGTGGGGGGTGACTAGTTTCTCAGTTCCTAATGTTTGAATTCTAAATTTTTCTACTTTAATTTTAATATTTAAAATTATCTTATAGAACCATATTTTTTTTTAAATATAATTTCAGAGAGGAAGGGAGAGGGAGAGAGAGAATCATTGATCGGGTGCCTCCTGCAGGCCCACAGTGGGATCAAGCCCGCAACCCAGGCATGTGCCCTTGACACGAATCGAACCTGGGACCCTTCAGTCCACAGGCTGACACTCTATCCATTGAGCCAAACTGGCTGGGGCATAGAACCATAATTTTTAATAATAGTTTTAAAGTCTCAAACTTCTGTGAAAATTGGCTGTCCATTTACAATAAAAAGACTTAACCCTCAGTTGTCAATACAAACCAGTATTATAATTTATCAAAATAAAAGCTCAGCAGTGTGGCTCGGTTGGGCATCATCCTGTGCAGCGAAAGGTTGCTTGTTGGATTCCTGGTCAGGGCACATGCCCGGGTTACAGGCTCAAAGCCCAGTCGGGGGCCTGCAGGAGGCAGCTGATCTATGTTTCTCTCCCTCTCTCTCCCTCTCTCTCTAAAAATCAATTTTAAAAAAACTAAAACAAACACACCTTAGCAGTGAACTATAATTGGTAATCTGGCTTATATATGCTTTATTTCTAATAAGCACATATCTTGCCTGTTATATTAATCACTGAGCTCTTTGTTGGAAAATATTACTTTTATTTTTATTTTAATACTTTTAACATTTTATTTTCATTGCAATTAGACAAAAATAAAATTTTTCTTTATAGTTTTGACAGTAGGATGTATTTTATTTTTATAGTCTATGGACTAGTGGATAGTATTTTAATAATCTGGTATATTAAATTTCAAACTTTAACATTTAGCAAAATTTTGCTTCACACTCACTTTTAGAATGACAGGAAATATGTACAACTTAGATTCCATATTCAGACAAATGCCCTTTCCTCTTCCTCAAAATAAAAGCTTTAAAGTGTAGTATAGTATAAAAGTTTCCAATATGAAGGCACTGCATAACTCTGCATCATATGGCTGATGTCTTGCTTAGCAGCAAGAGCAACGAGAATATTCTACACTTAAGTTAATGGAGTATAAGAAACTTTTTGAGGAAGGACCTAGCTCTTAACAAAGAAAAAGAACCTTTTGGCCCATTTAGTTAATGAATTCCTTTCCAAGACTGCTTTTAAAAAAACTTATCTGGAAAAGCTATCAAGAATATGTCAATCTTATTCTGCATGAGTGTTGGGGATAATGGAAAGAGTACTACATGTGTGAAGATATATACATTTCCAAAATAATAACTTACCTGTTAGGGTAAAGCTAAATATACTGCCCCAAATCCAGTTTTTATATAAATGCTAATAACAGATGATCTATGAAACAGTTTTAAAGAGTTAAGTTTATAGTATTATTATAAATCTAATGAATAGATCTAAGTCATTATATTCTCCTGTTTTTAAACTGAGGGAGTTTGTATTTGCTTTTGACATGTTGATTGCACTGGGTAATGATGTATATGATTCATTAAGTGTTCTGATGTCCTAAACTCTCATAAAAACAAAAACCATAGCCAGAGGACTTTATAAAGCATTAACCACACTTGTTATTATCTTAGAAAACAAAATGAATGCTATCTAACATTACATGAACTACAATAGTAGCCATAGAAGGCTTTAAGATGGCCTGGAAATTCAGATTCTAAAGTTCTTGGTAGCATATAATTGATTTCAAATCCCTTCTTTAAGGACATGCCAAAAAATAATGGAAATTCACTCCTTAAATTAAACCAAACTATGTTATTACAGGAAGAAACATTTTAGTTGAAGTGAACTTTGTTCTTTTGAAGGTCAGTAAAATAGTGGTCCAAAGATTATTGTCCAAGAGGCTAAGACATCTTTACAACCTAGTCCAGTAATTCATATTCTTTATAAGTGCTTTAATTACATATAGAGAAGAAAATAATATATATGATTTAATCAGATTAGTTTCAGAACAAATAAAATAACACATTAGAGAAAAATTACTTAAAAATAGTTGTATTTATATTCCACAATTTGCTCAAATACTGGTTTTCTTATAAACTTTCTACAGGATGGTTTTTAAACAAATTCTTCACATTGTGTCTTAGTGAGTATGACTTACAGAATTTCAGGGAAATAGTTCTGTGTTTTAATAGCTTAATTTGTACTAAAGAGATGGGAGGCGGTCACATGCAGTCCATGTGGGATTCTAACATAACATTTAGTGAGTTTTCTGACGTGGACCATCCCTTTGATGCTGAAGGTAATGCATCTGTTGAAAGAAGTGACTGTAGATTTGGATTACTGCTCTCTGTATCTTCCAGTTTTTCTGTGTTATCTTCCCAGTTAATGTGGAATCTTGTGACTCTGGGATTAGATGCCAAAATGTTCCTTTGAAGCTATAGGAAGAAGAAAATATATAAATTGTAAACATGAAGAAAGTTAGATCACCATATACAAACAGGAGCTTGATAGAATGGTTCTTTATATTAATACTCCACAAGGGCTAAGTTCATATGCATACAAATGTATAAGTCAAAGCACCTAAAACATAACTAATAAAGAAGAACTAGGGCCGAAACCGGTTTGGCTCAGTGGCTAGAGCGTCGGCCTGCGGACTGAAAGGTCCCGGGTTCGATTCCGGTCAAGGGCATGTACTTGGGTTGCGGGCACATCCCCAGTAGGAGATGTGCAGGAGGCGGCTGATTGATGTTTCTCTCTCATCGATGTTTCTAACTCTCTATCTCTCTCCCTTCCTCTCTGTAAAAAATCAATAAAATATATTTAAAAAAAAAAAAAAAGAACTAGGGCTGCTGCAAAGAAACTATTTAGCCTAATGAAAATAAGAATTCATACTTATACTATCCAAGAAAATATCCAAGTCCTCAATACTTTTGGTTTGTTCTAGCCCTGGCTGGTGTGGCTCAGTTGGTTGGTGCACTGTTCCATACACTGAAAGGTTGTAGGTTCGATTCCTAGTCAGGGCACAAACCTAGGTTGCAGGTTCAGTCCCTGGTTGGGGTGTGTATGGGAGGCAGCCAATTGATGTTTCTCTCTCACACCAAGGTTTCTTTCTCTCTCTCTCCCTCTCATCCTCTCTGTAAAGTCAATGAACATATCCTTGGGTGAGGATTAAAAAAAAACACCCAGCATTCTAATTTCTTCATTTTATTATATACAAGGTGCCGTGCCATACAGGTAACTAATAAATTGGATCAATGGAAGGCCCTACACCAGGATAAAAAACATTCTAGCCTTATTACTTTCTACTTATGTAAATTTTCTTACATGGTAGTGTTGTATTCAATCTCAAAAATCACTAGTCACTAAACTGTTACAGTTCCCAATGGAATCATAAAATACTAATTATTTTTGAGAATACTGAATCATTGATTTCAACTTTTCACTCAGAAGCTAAGCTGCTTTCTATCACTAAAAATATTTAATACCTTTAATTTAAACTTGTAAGAGTAGCAGATAAAACAAGGCATATAGATGTTCTGAGAACAGTGTTGATATGAAAAACAAACATAAAACTTCCTCCTGCAATTTTGAGAAGAGTTACAGACAAAACTATTATTGTATAATCCGTACAACAAACATGAATTCGAATCTCCTAAGGATTAAAATGAATAGAATTATGATGTAAGGGAAATGCCATACAGAAAGTCATAAACAAAGGTCTGTTTTTCACAGGAGGCATTTTCAATTTCTGAAACCAGAGACTCAAGGTGCCTGACCAACAGTACTTACGACTCATCTGGAGAGAGTCTGAGGTCATCCATGGTAATGGAACCATGATTAGTTTTCCTACTTGGCACAAGGACCTCACATTTACCATTTTCATGGTACACTGTAAAATGGCAATTGTGTAAAAAACTGTAAAAAGGAACAGTCAGAACATTACCTTAGAAAAGTCTGGTTTTACTGGTGGATTTTCCCTTAATTCTATCTCAGTATATTCGTTATTTACATAATAGCCAACTCTAATAAATTCTTGACCTCGATAGGTGCATGTAATTAGCACAACTGTTACACCTACGGCATCTGCATCTGGAATGAGTCCTGGATTAGGTGCATCTGCCTAGAATAATTTTAAAAGAAAAGAAACACATATCACAAAAGGCTGTTAACTACAAGGAAGACTAGAATTTTGATTACTTTGAACACCATCAGTTGAGGGCATCATATTGGGGAAGACAAATGCTCATTTTTGAGACTGATGTATAGCCAGGAAATACAGTTCACGTTTCTCAAGTACCCTGGGTGCTTGAAAGCATCACTACTTCAGAGTAAAATAAATCTGACTACAGCATGTTGTCGTTTATGAGGTTTATGCAATATTCAATTATAAAACCTTTCATAAAATATAATACACAATCAATAGTTTTATTTATTGCAACCTTTTCCAGTCATAATTTTCAGACCTAAATTAGCCTATCATTTGCACTGTTGCCAGCATTAGTTACCTAAGCTCAGTTCTAATCCTATTCCTTCACCAGGTTTTAACACTTCAGATGATTACCCCCATTTCTAAAATAAAAATCTCAGTTAACTTCACCTGTAAGGCCCTTCACAATTTGTCTCCAACCCACATCTCCATTCACACTCCCTTTAACTCAGCAGTTCTCAACCTGTGGGTCGCGACCCCATTGGTGGTCAAACGACCCTTTCACAGGGGTCGCCTAAGACCATCCTGCATATCAGATACTTACATTACAATTCATAACAGTAGCAACATTACAGTTATGAAGTAGCAACAAAAATAATTTTATGGTTGGGTCACAACATGAGGAACTGAATTTAAAGGGCCAGAAGGTTGAGAACCACTGCTTTAACTCCACACCTCTCTTGTTCTGGAATTACACAGGTTCTTTAAAATAGAGTGATCTTTCATGCCTCTGCCTTGCATACACTGTCCCTTTGGCCTGAAATGTTCTTGCCTAATAGCCTGAAAAATTCATCATTTAAAGTTTGCATCAAATGTATTCTTCTTGGCTCAAAAGTTAGAATTAATAGCAATTTTTTTTATGCACTCATATTATTTGACATAAATCCTCTACTAGCAATGTCTAACAACCCAAATATGTTTACCCTTCAATCTTGCCTGTCATTCTAAGTTTTATCTTGGGTAGTAGTCCCATCCAGTTCATCTATAATAATAAAAGAATAATATGCTAATTAGACCAGACATCCTTCTGGACATCCTTCCGGATAAAGCCAGGGCTGCTAGGGAAGCCTGGGTCCCAGGTGCCTGCCGGCAGCTGGGGGGAAGCCAGTGCCAGCAGCCAGGGGAAAGAAGGCCTACTCTTGCACAAATTTCGTGCATCAGGCCTCTAGTCTTCATATATAATCTCATGTCTGGCACAGCTCTGAGCACACACTGTGTACTTAGTATTTTGAAATTTGTTCATAACTCAGTTCCTGCCCTGAAGTGGTTTATGATCTCTTTGGAGACACCAGAATGGGGACAGAGAGAGAGTCTGTCCTGAGAACATGCTGTTTATCTTAGAAATCCTGAGCATCCCTCCATGGAGGTGTTCTGGTATTTGCGGGGTCCCCAAAGAGTTCCCCGTGTACCTGGAAGTGGGTAGAGATAAGAAACAGAGGGGTAGTTTAGCAGAGCGATGGGGACTTCCCCGCATAGTGCTTCACATTTCTTCAGCAAATTGGTTCTAGGCATATTTGTGTTCTAAAATGTGTGTGCCAAAGGATTCAGCGTGGGCAAATTTAAGTAGGAAAACCTGTAAACCTCTCGGATCATTAGGATGGAGAAGTCACGGGATGGAGAAGTGAGGCAAAATAGGACAGATCAGGAGAATACTATGGCAGTTTGTTTGAAGCACGAAACAAAAACTGTATTTCAGTCCCTTTCTGCTGATAATGGTACATTTTGTAAAACTTATAGGCTGAACACATGATCTAAATCACATGTGCTTCCTCTGTTGCTTTTTGTCAATGTGCAGTTACCAAGGTAAAACCAGTGGAAAACCACTAGAAGCAAATATTTTTGAATAATTCTTCTCTTCAGCACTCTAAGCCAAAAGCTTAGGAATGTTCTTAACAACAAATACATAGGACATATTTTTAAGGGTTTGTTTAAAAAACAAGGAATTTCTTTAGAAGTTTTTATAGTGGCATAAAAAGGTGCATATATCGCTCACTGCATCTCAAACTAAGTTTCTTTACTACATCATGAATTATCAGTAAAGGACAGGTTCTCCAGGTTTGTGGGTCAAAGCAAATATTACTCCTTTATATAACAATTTCAAGAAGCTAAAAGAGTGAAATTTTAGTTCTAAACATAGAAATAGGGCACTATTTGTCAGTGATTGTACTTGACTGCTTCATTCCTCATTTAATCCTCAAAACATTCTTATGAGGTGGGATATTCGCCACATTTTATAGGTGACTAACGGAGGTTAGGGAGCCTGTCTGAAGTCATATCCTATATAATAAATATGTAATTTGCAAATGGTTATTAGTCCGTGAAGCATAATGACCGACTGCCTAATGACTGGATCACGGATCAGCAGGAGGGTGGGGCAGCGAGCTACAAGTGGGCAGCAGAGAGCTACAGGAAGGGGCAGGGCAGCAAGCTATGATGGGGGAGAACGGGGCAGTGGGCAGAGAGCAACTGGAGGGCGGCAGCGAGCTACTGGCGCACAGATTCTTGCGCAGGGCTACTAGTGTGCATAATAAGCACTAAAGTGGAATTTGAACAAGATCTATAACTGCAGTGCTTCCCCTACACACTCATTCTCTGGTACCCATGTCTTTCACCAAGATTATGCACACTCACAATCTGGGTTAACAGCACTTTGGAATTCCCTGTTTAGGAGGGGGGAGGGAAAGATAGCAGCTCTAAAGATGCCATAGGTTTGAATTAGTCTTGGCCCATATCTCAATGGGATTATCTGAGCAGCAGTGTTCATTTAAATCGGTCTCATCTGTGAAGTGAGAAAACAGGAGTCAGCAATAGGAAGAGTTCATTTTTTCTCTGGATGAAGTCTCTTCTGTGGGTTCTACTTAACTGATGGGACCCTGTTGTAGAAATATCTGCAATAAATTTAATAGTTTTGTAAAAACCTGTGGCTAGTTACTCTTTCAACTATTATAAGTATCTCTCTAATAAGCATGGATAATTGGAAAGTGACTGAATAGTTTTATACAATTTAGCATGTATTAAAAGAACTTTTGAATACAGAAGACAATGCTGCAATCTTGGCACAGATCTCAATACTGTCAGTAATACCTGAGAACATATTTTATATTAGAATTTCCCCTCACAGTCAGTAAACAGAGTAGTAGCTTTATAACAGTAACCCTTTATAAAATGTGTAGATTAGATACTTTAGTAAACTGGACTTCAATTCCAATGACCCAAGATCACACATCTCTCTTTCTACTAACATACCTTTTAACCTAGCTTCATTACTGATTATGCTGATATCAAGTTGTTGCTTTTTTTATATTATCATCACTACTAGTGGCTGAAACCATAAAGCTGCATATGACTGACTACACCAGTCAGTAGTGTGCATCTTTAATCTCTGGGGCTGCTGGACAGCACCCCCCTGAAAGTCTGATACTAAGAGACTATTCACAGAAAAGCCCAAAATTAACCACCACGTATAAAGTTACTGCATGCTGTGCAATCCCTGAAGTAAATATCACATTAACATCTCTCAGCAAACAAAATCAGGAGGCGGTGTTCCTGCATAACACAGAGACTTCCTAAAATGTGAGAGAAGTAGATAAAAAGCGAATGCAGCAGAAGCTGAGTGACTTAACCCACAAGGAAAGGGATAAGAACCATCTGATGTAGTCTGTTAAGAAACATATTTTACATACATATTTACCAAGAATGATCTTACCTGAAATACAAACATATGCCTTCCCGCAGGAACAGGGCCCACTAAAACAGAGTCTAAAACTTGATCGTATTCTTCACTTTCTGCAGAGCCCACATAGATAATTTTCCATTCCAGGTCTAGGGTTAAAACCAAAACATTATTTCATATTCAGTGATTATATTACAATATGACATCAAAAACCCTTTTAATGTCCACTTAGCCAATTTACTGGCTGCTGAAATTGGCTTTTCATAGCAGAAAATCCAGGAAGGCACTAAACGGTTCCTTAAAAAATTCTTACATTTTGTACCAGTTTCTTAAAATGCTCTTTTGTGAAACACTAGTACCTGGGCAGGTCTCCTCACAAACAGGATGGCTCAAAACCTGGGAAATGCTTCAGCCTTGTCTTGAGGGTTCATAAAGCACAGTGGCAGAGGACATGTCCGAGACATCCTTCAGTAAAGCCCAGCGACATTAGTCCGGCATCTCCCAAATGTATTTGGCTATGGAATCACCCCCCTCCTCCAATCATGTCGTATTTTAACTTACTAACCACACTTTGGAAGGACTGCCCCCCACTATGTTGCACAGATCCAAATCTTCAGAGCTCCAAAATGGAAAGTCATTGGCCAACTTCCCTGTGGCTCCGAAGGGGCTTCAGCTCATAACTGTTACAGAACCAGAGTCAGGTTTCTTCTTCAATGCACCCCTTCCTGTCATACGTTCTTTAAATTGGGAAGGAGAAACCAAGGATCCTCTTGCCACTTGATACAAGAGTATAGATGGTGGGGAAAGGCACAAGGAAGAACAAGACACACCGAAGTGCAACTATGGCATTCTGTGAAATTCAATCACTCAGATTTTATTGAACACCCTTCACAGTGTGCTCTGTGAGAACCCAGAGATGAGTAAAAAGACTGTTCTTGTGAAGGAGCTTCCTCTTTAGGGTCAGGGGAGGAGAGAGAAACCCATCTGAGACCTCCTGGGCCTCTCAGGGGTTAGCAGTGTGGACTGCCTCTTGGATTCACTGCGCTAAGACTACACCAGCCCTCCCAGAGGAGGGTATTGCTGGGTTACTTGTAGAGAATCTAGTTAGTGTCACCGTGAGTTGCCATTTTTGTGTAATTGTAGGTATTTTCATTCCCTAAATAGATACCAGAAATAGTATAGGTACTACTTATTCATACAGTATTTATAAACTACAATTTATTGAACTAAATGCTCCTTTAAGCTTATACTTTCTCTTATGAAGTCCGTAGTCATTTTCGGAGGACCTAATATGTCATTCATGGCTGTGTCCCAGGCTAGACCATTTTATTTCCTTCCAGCTTCTAGCACATTTTCAGATGCAGGGTCCTGCATCTGACACCTCAACAGATCATCTATTTGTTAATAAGATTAAGTGAGGAAACAATATGAATATCTACTCAGAAGCAACAAATACAAAGGCATAGGGAAGCAGCATGCTTGGCAAGAAAAAGCAAGACTGCTAAGGCAGGACCAGAAAGAGCAAAGAGTAAAATTACCATGACATTGGGGGGTGAAGGGCGTGGCGAGGTTGTGCAAAGTTTAGAAGACCATTAAGAAGACTTGGCTTTAATAGTAAGAGGCAAGGGAAGCCATTGTAGGGTTTTGATTAGAGGAGTGGCTACCATGGGGGTGAGAAGCAGTCGCATTCTTGATAAATCTTAAAGATAGAGGCAGCAAGACTCACTGTGTGTGTGTGCGCACGCTGTACGAGTGCATGCATAGGAGATAGGTGAGGGAACCAATCAGGCATTAATTTTAGACTTGTTCAGTTTGAGGTGTCTACTAGATATCTAAGTGGAGATAATGAATAGATCTGGTAAAAGTTTGGAAATTGTAAATAGGTAGGATTCCTAGGGAGTGAGCCTTGAGACTGTCCAAAAATGTCATGGAGATGAGGAAGACTCAATAAAGTAGGTTACAAAACTAGTGGCCAATGAGGTAGTAACCCAAAAGCCAAGCGGCAGGACTGTTTTAAGGGTGTGAACCTATTAAACTAGCCAAGTGAGGATATGACTAGGAATTGTCAAGTGTAGATTTGCATATTTTGTTCATTTCATATGTATTTGTACCTCAAAATATAGAGCCCTTGGCCTCCTAATTGGTATAAGTTGGCATTTGTGTCTGACAGGAACACAGTCATGATTTATAAACCTTTTATAAAATACCCATTACATGCTGGGCACCTCACACCTGTTGTTTACACTTCAATAGCTTTATCATATGGATTTAATTATACCTATTATGCAAACAAGGAAGTTGAGGCTCTGAGAGGCCAAGTAATCTACCTCCTAGTTAGTAAATCAAAGAATTAGAATCAAAGTTATGTCTCTGCAACTCGAAAGCCTGGGCTCTTTCCAAAAATTTAACTAGGAAGATAAATTCTTCCCTTTCTAGCCATGGGGAGATAATCTAGGCTGTAACTCAGGGTAACACCAATGCCTTGATTTTTGTTTATGGGATGCTTGCTGTAACCACTGAGTTTGAAATGCTTAGTACTCATTTCTAAATTAGCATCAATTGTTTTATTCTTAGAATTCTTAGAACTTAGATTTTATTCCCCTCTTCCTGTATTGGAAGCAGGGAAAGGCGCAGATGCTTTCACAGGTTATTAGTTGAAGGCGTTCACTCACTTATTTTAAAAGTTAACTGATTGTTTCGCTTACTTATGGTAATCCCAGACTGCAGGTATCTGTGTTGGGAGTGAGGGATTCACCAAGGGAATTTTCAACTAATTGCACTACTTGGCAAGACTTGCTGTCTAGTGGAAAGTATGTAGTCTTTGGAAAATTTGGAAGTATGAAGCACTATGCTTTACTCTGGTACAGTTGTAAGTATTCAACTAACATGTAGCCATTATTAGAAACAACTAAATTATTTTAAAAGCAAATACTCCTCTGCACTGCAGGGGTGGCTCAGTGGCTGAGCATCAACCCATGATCCAGGAGGTCCCAGTTCCATTCCCGTCAGGGCACATGCCGGGGTTGTGGGCTCCATCCCCAGTAGGGGGCGTGCAGGAGGCAGCCAAAGATTCTCTCATCATTGATGTTTCTATCTCTCTTTCTCTCCCTTCCTCTCTCTGAAATCAAGAAAAACATATTGTAAAAATAAATTTTAAAAAAATAATAAATACAATTACTCCTCAAGGCTTTTTCTGAAACAAAGCTTTTAAAGGAACGTAAAACAATGAGGGGGCTATTGACAAGTTAAAGTATCAAAAATGGTGGCCCATCTCTGGCTTGGGATTGAGACAATTATAAAGTGAAAAGAAAAATTTTTTAAATAAAGAATTTCAATAGTATAAAAGTATGGAACCTCTAAGAAGCCTTTGCCAAGTAAACTCGGTTTCCTTAATTCACACAGCCTCTAGGTGGAGTACACAAGCATGGCACCTTTTTGAAAGATTCCTTTGCAGTTTTGGTATGACTCAGCTTAAACTCTTAAAAAAAACCTAAATAAATGCCGAGTCTAGGTATCATGGGAAGTGAAGTATACAAATGGAAGGTGGTGTATTGTTAACATTAGTACTGTGAAAATTCTGAAGTGATTTAACTGAATAGATTGCAGTAAAAAATGGAACACAGTTCTGCCTCCATGAATGGCAGACTTCAACCATCCAATGTCAAGGCCCTGTAACAACATCTTTAGTCATCTAACTTCCTTGTTCAGAATTGTCTCCTAAAATGAAAATTATCACTTGAGAAATACCTGTAATCTGAAGAACTTCTAATGCCTAAACCACTATAGTATAAGTTGGAATGGACCAATCAATGGTTTCATTACATTCACCCATTTTTATATGCAATTGGCAACGGCAATAAGATGGGAAAAATTACAGACTTGAGTATTAAAAAAAAATGGGGCTGGTAGCTGAAATGTTTATAGTATTACTATGGTAAAGTACTCAAATGGTTTCAAAATAGTAAGAACATTCCCCTTTAATTTTATTATCAATGGCCTATTTAGAAATTTAACAAGTTTCAAAATGTGCACTACATGTTATACATGTGCATATATGCTTTATAAATGTATTTAAACCGTATGGAAGAGCACAGATTAAAGTGTTAACTATGGTTACTTATAGGAATGAAATGGGGAAGGTACTAAGTACAGCGGACTGTTACTCTGTATGATGTTTTGAAAGTTTATTACAATGAGTGCGTATTTTTATAATTTAAAAAATTAACACCCTAAAATATATTTTATAGATTAAAAACTAATTTAAGTTGAAAGTGCTTTATATGCTTTGATTAGTACAATAATATTAAATGCACTTTGTTAAATAGATTTGTTAAGTTCAAAGATGTGTGTCCCCCTATTTAAATTTTTAAATTACCATTGATGAAGTTAAACTTTTTCCCCTCAAATTTTGAAAATAAAGCGCCGGAGTATTTTAAGTAAATTCCCAACGATAAAACCTTGGCAAGTTTCAGCTTTCGAAATATTTATTACTGCACATATTAAGAATATCTTTTTTATTACTTTATTACTTAGAAAAAATTGTCAATATTTGTGCATTGCCATTATGACTTTACCTTTTACTTCCTAGCCCACTTTCGTGTTTTATGTTCAGGGTGTTAAATATCGAGTTATTTTCATCAGATTTCAACACGTTTTTGAATTAAACCTTTCAGACTACTTAGAAGCCAGTAGTGATTCGGTCCTGGCAGTTACTTAAGTATTTTTCTTATTTCTGCTCTTGGGTGAAATGTGACTCTATAGCTGAGCAATGTCTTTCTTCCCGAGAGAGAAGACTTCAGTCGCTAGGAACGGAGTTCCGTTGGTCGGGGGAGCCCGTGCCAGCGTCCGGGCGCCGAGCATCCGAGCATCCCGGCGCCGGCGGCGAGTGCGGGCCGGGGCCCCCGCGGCCGGGAGCGCGGAGCCTGCGCCCGCCTCCCCCGCTGGTTGGTCGAGGCAGCGAGAAATCCGCGCGAGGACAGCCTCGCTCTCCTCCCCACCGCGGCCGGCCATGGCCACCCGGGAGAGCAGGCAACTCCAGCGTTAGCTCTACGCAGGGACTCGCCCTTCCACGGGGCAGGAAGGTGGGCCGGCGGCGCCGCGTTCGTCACCCACGGAGAGGAGGCGTCGTGACGCCGGGTCGGTGGCCCGATCCTCTCCTCGGGGTAAGATGGCTCCGCTGCGAACTCGCCGGCGCGACCACAGACGCGCCTCTCCCTTCCCGGCCTTCCCGTCGGGGCCGCGGGGACCGCCAAGGCCGTTCGCGACGCGGGGCCAGTCCGGCGGGACCCCCGGCCGGCGCCGCGGGCGCGAGTGCGGGTCTCGCGAGTCGCCGCCCGCCAGACAAAGCTGACAACATGGCTACCTCCGCCCCAACAAGTTCCGAGCAAGTTGAGCGGCGGCAGGCGCCCGGCCACGGCGAACGCCTCCCGCGCCCCGGCGGCCGTCGTCCATCAACTTCAAGTTTCCCTCCAGAGCCGAGCCCGCAGCCCGCCCGGCGCTCGGCGCCGCCGCCCTCGCGAGGCCGGGCCCGGGAAACTTTCAACGTCTGCAGCCGCAACTGACAGCCCGGCGGGCGGGCGCCCACTCACCTTCAGACAGGTCCTCGATGCACTCGAAGGTGATCTCGAACTGGAAGGGGTTGTAGAAGGGAGACGGGTTGTCCAGCACCACTACATTGTTCACCTGAACCTTTGCCATATTTTGAAAGAAGCACAAACAATGGGGACGGGGCTTGTGCGGCACAGTCCAGCCCAGCGCGCGGCCGTCCCCGGAGAGCGCAGACCCCCGCCCGGCGCCGGCCCGACGTCGTGCAGCGGCGACTTGAGAAACTTTTTCCCCTTTTTATTTACACGGGAGCACTCCACGGTGTTGTGCAGCTTTCCTATTTCACTAAACTACGGCCCATTCTGCTCTGATAACTAGCAGCGTTGCTCGCGATTGGCTGCACCCGAGCTCTGACCCTCCTCCTCCAGCGAGGCCTCCGCGGCGAGAAAGAGGGGCTCCCGCTCCCGGAATGGACTCGGAAACTTTAACTGCGGCTCCACCTGCTGGTGCGGATTAGGACAAAGGCGGAGAACAAAGTGAGTGGAATGCAGGCTGGGAGGCCCGCGCGGAGGCCGCCGCCGCTGCCGCTGGCGGGGGGCGGGGCAGCGCAGGCCCCGCCCCCGGCCCGGCGGCTCCCGCGCCTCACGTCGGGCGTGGCCGCGGCGGGGCGGGTCGCGGGTCGGAAGGGGCGTGGCCACCGCAGAGGCGGTGGGGGCGTGGCCAAGGCGGGGAGGTGTGCTCGCGGCTGCCTCTGCGGTGGGAGGGCGCGATTCTGGGCCACGCCCGCCCCTCGGGTCTGCTTAGTGGTGTGTTTTGTTTGTTTTTTCCTCTTTTCATTTGTCCAACGGCTATGCTGGGTCTGCTTAATTGAGCAGATATGACTCGGTTGTATACACCAGATTAGGTTTAGCTGCCTCTGTATTGGATAATATTTGCGGTAGAGTGAAGGATTGGTTGCAGTGGAAATAAATCATATTTTATAGACCGATGCCAGCTCAAAGGAGCAAAGCCATTTTGGAAATCTAGTTCTTAGCCAATCTCTGCGTTTGGGCACGACAGGGCTGTTAAGTAGATACAAAATGTAGGGCGAGGAGACACATTTGCACACACACTTGGCTTGGAAAATCTGAATAGGTATTATTTGGGCTGCACCTCGGTCTTCCTCTCCTTCCAGTCTGGAAAGTCCTAGAATAAGAAAAAGATTACTAGAGATGTGGTCAGTTACACCCCATGTTTCTACCGTTTGAGGGCATAACAGGAACGTAAATGGAGAGAACATGGAAGTAAGGATACCAGAGGGCAGCAAATATAAGGGAAAAGGCCAGTAGAGAACGCAAAGGGATATCAAGTGAGATTTTTCAAAAAAAATGTATGGCCTAAACTGTCATTAAATAAAAATGTGTGGCACCGCACACGAGTTCCAAGGAGCCTTTGCTTGATTCATGGACATTCAATGTGGATTCATTTACGCTGCTTAACTACCATTGCTGGAAAAGGGAGAGCTTTTAACACATTTATGAGGTTGTTGAACTGTTTCTGTTTACTAAATAAAAGTGGTATAAAGGTTTAGGTTATTGCTTGCTTTTTATAAACCATTATTTTTCCTTAAGAATTGTGAATGAAACCACTGAACTTGGCTAATTAAATTCAGAGAGAAAATTAATTCTTTTCCAGGGGGGAGGGTTTCACAAAGTTTTCTTTATTCTTCAGGGGGAAGGGACACCACACTTCCACTCAATTAAGAGAAACATTTTTATCAACACAGAAGTCTTTTTTATTTTTTTCCCACTTACGCCATGAATTCATAGGGAATGGGTTCCAGCAGCTCAGGCTCCTTTCCACTGGTTCTCACAAAGTGTGCTTCTCTGGGTGGAGCAGGCTAAGGCTTCAGTTGAACCCATGTGCCTTTCTCTTTGGCTTCCTTCTTTTTCTGATCATTTTCCTTCACACGTTTCAGGAAGCTTCTTGGCTCTTAGAGAGCTTAATATGCTCAATACGTACTTTCATTCTCTTGGCAAGAATCTTGCCCTTACCTTGCTTGTCCACAATAATGCCCACTGCATGCTGGGTGACACTGTAGACTCTTCCGGTGTTGCCACGGTAACAGTTGTGGGCATTCCTTTTTGAACAGCGCCCATTCCCCTGATGTCCACAATGTCACTTTTCTTGTAGATTCGCATGTATGTGGCCAAAGGAACAACTCCATGTTTTCTAAAAGGCCTAGAGAACATATAGCGGGTGCCTCTCCTCTTTCCCTTTGTGTTAGTCATTTTGGCGAATTACTGGAAGATGGCGGTTCCAGCCGAAAGCGAGAAAACTAATTCTTAAGTATCATCTATGCTGGAATAATTTTCTCTTAGTATAGTGCCCAGAATTTTGAGTTGTCATTCTTTGGGCATTGTTCATACTTAAGTAGGTTGCTTTTGATGAAAACTTTTTCATCTGATGGTCTTTTTAAAATATGTTTTTAATGATTTCAGAGAGGAAAGAAGAGGGAGAGAGAGAAACATCAGTGATGAGGGAGAATCATCAATTGGCTGCCTCGTCCAGCCCCCCTTACTGGGGATCGAGCCCACAACCTGGGGCCTGAGGGTCTTTTGAAAGTTAATGTTGGGCAGCTAATACCAGGACTTCCCACATTTAGGAAAATTACTTAGAGTGGGGGGTCCCATTTTATTGTCAATGGATTAAATAATCAAATAGGACCTACCAAAAAAATGGTTTCCTCAAGCCCAGTTGTTTGTGTGCATTAAGTATGAGTCATACTGTGGTGATATGGAATGTATGTATAGATAACATTTTGATCCTCAAAACATCCTGGAATGGTAGGACGGGAGGGTGTTATCATCCCCACATAACAAAGGAGGACAGTGGTGCTCAGAAACCTGTTCCTTTAATTGCTGACCAAGTGCTTCTCTACTTTTTGTTCACTGTGTCAGATAATACTTAAAGTGGACTTTATGTGTAGAAAAAGCAATTGATACCATTTCCTGGAAGAAATGATATCAATTTCCACCGGCTGGCAGAAATGATATCAGTTTCCACAGGCTGGCAAACACTGTAGTAATGACTTGATTAATGAACTCTTGAGGAACAAAGCTCCATGAATGAAGTTGGCCCAGGTATATACTGGGAGTGAGAGGAGGCCCAAGCCAAGGCAAAGCTGTGGGAATCTCCCCATGAGGCACTGCAGATGATAAGCCTCCTATTGCAGAAGGGATGACTGGGGGGGAAGGGAGAGAGGGTGGAATGAATCCTGGAATGCATCCTCATACTTTATGGTTTCCATATTTATTACATAAAGTGTGTCCTCCTCCCCCATTTTTTGCTCCCCCTCTTTAATAACAGTTTCACTGTTTTGTATTGATCACTACCCACCATTAGGTTGCAATTTTGTTGAAGATATAAGCTGTGTCTGAGCCCTTATCCATAGCTGGACTATACTGTTAAACACCCTTTGGATATCTATCAATGAGATCATTGTTCTTTCTGAAGCACCATAATTATGTTTGCTGTTGACAGTTTGTTGGTGTTAATATCTTTCTGACCAGAAGAATATTAATGGAAATGCTTAGTAATTATTTTCTGTTTCATGTATCTAGTTTTTTTACCCTGTGTTCTTAGTCCTCTTATATGAAGCTCCTTCTAAACTTGTTTTCCTCCTGACCTCACTCTCCACTTATAATACATCTTCTCATGTTTTACATTCCATTCTTTTCTCTCTAACCGCCCACCTCTCCCATTCATCAGATAACCAGGAGAAATGTGGTCATAGGTAGAGAGAGGATTCAAATCTTTAAAACAGCTCTTGGCTAGACTACTGCTTGCACAAAGCCACTGCTAAACACAGCAGCTTTTTTAGTTGGTTACTATAGAGACAAATGGCATTAAATGGAGATATACTTGACGGAAGTTAGGCAAGTAAGCTTTGTGAGATTGGATGCCTTATATGCAGGATTGTCTAAAAAAGGTCAAAACTGGAAAAGATAGGAAGGAGAAAGGTTTCACAAATGAGCTGATAGGTAATTAATTGGTGGATTTAGGTTGGTAGTTTTGTGCCTGCTAAAGTCTTGAATCCAGCATAAAAGAACCTATCTCCAAGTACCTCTATTATGACTGCATAGTGACTTTTATTTTTAATAACAGCTATGCTACCATGAATTTTTGTGTTCAGATTTCTGTTGGAGGCGCATATGTTTTCATTTTTCTGGGTCTTGAGAGTGGAATTGCTGGATCCATATGGCACCTCCTTAGGAGGAACTACCAGGCTGTTTTCCCAAGTGGCTGCACTTACATTCCCACCAGCAGTGTATGAGCATTCCAGTATCTTTACCTCCCTCCCCACCCTTATTAGTTTTTTTGATTATAGACTTTGGTGATGTGTGAAGTAGAGTCTCATTGTGGTTTTGATTTACATTTCCCTGAGGGCTAAAAATGTTTGACTGTTTTTCATTTGCTTATTGATCATTTGTATATCTTCTGTGGAGAAATGTCTATTTGGATCCTTGGCCTTTTAAAAAATTGGGTAATTTTTTTTATTATTATTGAGCTGTAAGAGTTCTTGATTCTAAATACAAGTCTTTCATCAGAGACATATTGATCAGGTTTGGGAAAATTTTCTCCCTTTCTGTGGATTATCTTTTCATTTTCTTGGGGGTGTCCTTTGCAGCTCAAAGCTTTTAATTTGATGAAGTCCAATTTATTTTGTCTTTTTTTGCTTGTGCTTTTGGTGTCATTTCTCAAAAACATTGCCTTATCAAGGGCCATGAAGATTTATATTTGTGTTTTCTTCTAACCATTTTATACCTTTCGCACCTTACATTTAAGTTTGATCTACTTTAAATTATTTTTTGTATATGGTATCAAGAAGGGGTCCAAATTCCTATTTTTATATGTGGATGTTCAATTTCCCAGCAGCATCTTAAAAAATTATTCTTTCCTCAATGAATTGGCTTGGAACCCTTATCAAACATGAGTTAACCATAAATGTGTGCATTCATTTATGCAAAATTAATTTTTTTTGTTGATCTATATCTCATGTCATTACTACACTGTATTGATTATTGCCACTCTGTAGTCAGGAAATTTGAGACCTCCAAACCCCCCCCCCCCCCCCAATATTACATCTATTCGGGATTCCTTGAATTTCCGTATAAATTTTATGATCACTTTGTCAATGTCTGCAAA